CCCCAAAACCCCAAAACCCCAAAACCCCAAAACCCCTTAAAAGAATACAAAAATTGACAAAATTACTGCTCGAAGTGTGGACAAAGCTGCTTCCATAAATTCAACCTCGAGGCCTCGAATCCTAAGAGTGGACCAGATGCTGACAGAGGCCGGAGAGTTTGGGAACCGGAGTTTGCTTGTACTTCTGTTTAGAATAATATCAAACTAATGATCGTCGATTTATTACCATAACATGTCCTTCCTTGAGCTAGTCCCCAAGTTAGAGTGCAACAAACAAGACCATTGGATTTAATGCACAAAGGATCAAATCTATGAGAATGGTATGTTAATTGATAGGTAAGACATTGGTTCCTACTTCAAGGAAATAAATAGATAAAGGTGCTTCTTTGCTCAAGTATTCAACCTCAAATACTTGTTCTTAACTAATATAGAGCTTATTGGAGAGAAGACTATCCAGACATTTTCTCCTTCAGAAATTGAATTACCAAGCTAGATCTCTATTGCTATGATAAATTCTGGATAGGCTTGATAGGCTCTTCTTACTTCCTTGGAGTAATCTTCAATTGAGTTATTCTCAAGCAAACTGATACTTTTGGGAGGAAAAATATTCTGATATTTACTTCAGCTGCTCAGGCTGTCTGAAGTTTGACATTATTTTATTCTAACAATATTTATGTTATCTATGTTACTCAATTCTTCTGAGGATTGCTGTTTTCAAAGAACTATCTGAATTTCATCTACATCTAAGAAGTCACAACTGAAAGGCACATGATATTTTATCGAGGGTTTGCACTTTCAACTGAGACCTTAGTTTCAAAAATCCTTATTGTCTTCTATTTGGTGTATGGAGATTCAGGTAAGAGTAAACTGGAGTCTCTAGATGATAATTTTAACGATATTTAAACTACAAACTTTGAATTTTAATACTTTCATAAAGCTTCATGATCAATATAGAAACCAAAGATCTAAACAAGCTAGTCATATTTGCAACAGTAACATCTTTACTATCGCTAGCAGGAGCTATACTGCTTCCTGAGTCTCCTAGATATCTCTATGAAAGAAAAAAGTGGCAAGAGCTTAGAGAAAGTATCAGCTTCATTGCCAATCTGAACGAAGCCAGCATGGATACAACATACTTAATAGACAGCCAAGAGAAAGATTATCCTTCTGTTGAAACTCTATTACGAGATGGTATTTTCAAATTCTAGCTATAGATCACCAGAAAAAAAACTATAGCAAATAAATCTTGTCCCAAAGCAAGCAGGCATATCCTTTGTTTAGATCCAAATAGTGCACTAGCCCATCCTAAGTTTAGTTTATAGCTTTCTCACTTGACCCTCATTTATTACTCTCTTATAGACAATATTTGAAAAAGACGAAACCCAAAAATTCTCAGTTTTCCAAGAGCTCAAAAGCCCAAAGATTTTGATCAATTTCATATGAATAGTCTGTGTATTCTGAATCTTACGCTTTAACTTCAATCTGATCGAATTTTATATAAAATACATCAAAGGAAATATATATCTAAATTAATGAGCAAGTGTGATCTCTGAATGAATAGGAAACTTCTGAGCAGGTTTTGTCCAAAAGTATTAGGAACTCCTAACACTTTGTTCTGCTTCCTTCTCATTTCATTAATAGCATCAATCCCTCTCTTGCTTGCTAGCAGCGTCACAATAATAGCAATTTCGATCTTTTCATGCAAGATATTCTTGGAAGGAGCCTTTATGATATCTTATCACGCGAATTCAGAACTCTTCCCAGCTTTATTTTCCCGGTTTGCTTTATTAGTTTGTGGATTTATGGGCCATTGTCTATCTGTTTTCGCTCCAATGGTGGCAGAAATAAAGCCCGATACTGTACCTATCTCTGTATTTCTTATCACTAGTACTTTGGGAATCCTTGCTTCTCTAATACTCACAAATTCAAGACCAACTCTAGAAACAGTGTACAAAAGTGAGATCTAAAACATAGATACTCCAGTTCAATCCTAAGATCATCTTAAGGGGTTTTGGGGTTTTGGGGTTTTGGGG